TTAGATTAGCTACAAAATGGTCATCTTCAACCTCTAGCCGCACGTGGCTTTCTAATTTCAAGTTGACTTTACGTGCAAAGATTTGACCGGCAAATGCAATCCACCCGACATTCGCTTTGTTTATTCTTTCTGGGTCTAGATTCCTCTTATCGAGACCTATCTCCTGTATACTCGAAACTTGATTTTGAGCAACTTAAAAGCTGACAGTTTCGAAACCCTTTCACTTTTCTTTTCCTATACCTGACATCCACTCTTGCCAATTAATCTTTTCTTTTCTTTTCTTTTTTTGAAACATGCATGATGGGTTTGGTTTTTTGTTCTTTTACCTGTTGTTCATCATTCTCTATTTAGATACGGACCAAACATGTAGACCAAACACACAAAGTGCACAACACTTATTCTTTCTTACTCATCACTTACAGTACCCGACGCCATTCATTTTTTTTTTCCTGTTATGTTTATATCAAATTTGGTACAAAATCACACAAACCACTTTTCTCACAACCCAAACCTGGTATCCAAAGGTTCGGCGTCGCAACAAGATAATAAAAATAAAATAATTCTAAAATTACTGTATTAGTAGCGCAAGCAAATAACTTATAAATAAATAAACAAATAAATAAATGGGTATCAAAAGTTTATTAAAAAAAACAAAAATAGTCATTTCGGCTCTTTATTTTATTACAAAGTTCGATTTGAAATACAGATAGTAAAAAAAAAAAAAAACTACGATTTATTCCCCATCTTGATCCCACTAAGTCTCATCACTTGAAAGGGGTAACAGCTATAAGCACATAGCAGAGTGATAAATATTATACTATGAGTATAAGGGCACGAAATAGCCATATATAGTTATTTAAGCTAAAACATTAACATAATTTAATTTTAATAAACAAATTAATTAAGTGACAGAAACTAAAATACAGAAGTTACATAAATAACTATAACTATGGTACAGAACAGAACATAATAGAAGTCACTGGAGTGACAAATAGAACAAAGGTCAATGGATCCATGACAAAAAGAGGACCACAAAGTGGCCGAACAGAAGCCAATGATTTATTTAAGTCCCCTAAGGCGTGGGACTCCCGTGGTGGTACTTACAGAAAATAATTGTTTATAAAATCATTGTCAAATAATTATTAAGATTTAAACAAACATATTCATGGGTTTCAATTTAAGCAAATAGAGTTTAGGAAATAATCCACATAATTGAAACATTAACAAATTATTTAAAATAAATTGTGGTAACTCAAAACATTTGTAAAGTATATTATGATAACTCAAGATATAATATAACTCACCTTACTATTGACCCTTAGCCTTCACTTTTCTATGATTGTCTTGGTATTCTCTGCTACTAGTACGCTGCTCCTAAGTTATTTGTATCTTTCCTATGTTTTCAAAGCTCCCTCAGTTCCTCCCTATTTATAGGTGGAGATTACCTGGTTTCTAATTAAGTGGATTGCCCAAAATTGGCCACCTGTCTAATAGGTGCCATTTCTCCCTTCTACTAGGATGATTCACCTTGGCTATATTACGTAGTCACCATCCTATATATTAGGATGGTGATAAACCACCCCCATTTATATATATATATATATATATATTCTATTCATGAGTAATTGATCTAATCACGGTATTGAAGTAAATTAAAAGAAATTCAGGTGCCACATTTCTCCCCTCCTTAAAAGAAGTTTGTCCTCAAACTTGTTGTACCTTACTTTTCAAAGAGGTGTGGGTACTTGACCTACATTTGACTTTCAGTTTAATATTGTGTGCGTAAATAAAGATTAAATAGATCAATATAATAAATGTATTGTATTTTAAATATTAAATATTTTAGTTAGTCATTATATTATCCGTGATTACATTTCACAATATTGTATTTTGACTTTTAGTCATTAAAATAAATAATTACGAGGCTCCCTCAGTTGCTCCCTATTTATAGGTGGTGATTGTTGGGTTTCTAATTAAGTTCATTGTCCAAAATTGGCCACCTGCCTAACAGGTGCCATTTCCCTCTTCTATTAGGATGATTCACCTTGGCTATACTATATTTTAATTAAAACAAGGTCATATGATTAGTTTGGAGGACCAAACTTTCTATGGAGGAGAGATTGTGACGACCCTGCCACGTATAATATTTTACGTTTAATTAATTCTTATTCTGATTTAATTATGGATTCTCAATAAGGTAAAATTGACGAATTGAATTATTTTAAATTCGAGTATCAGACTATATAAGAGTTTAGTTAAATATCTGATTCGGTTTAGTAATGTTGAAATTTTATTAATTGGGTCCGAATTGGAATTGATTAAATTATAAAAAGAAAACAAAATAAATAAATAAATAAAGCAAAAATAGAGCAAGTGACACGTAGTCTAGATTAGGCATGCATAGGTGTGGTGAGTCACCTTAAAGGTATATGTTGGATAACCATGAATTGATGGAGAAGCATTTGGATAAGCCGTGTGTATGAGTGGTGGCTTAGGGCTTACGGATTGACTCCCTATAAGTAGAGAGGAGCTGTTCAAGTTAAGGAAAACAAAGAAAGGGGAAGAAAATACTAGAGGTAAAGAAGGTCTTTGATAGTAAAAAGAAAGAGTGAGATGTTAATTTTAAGGTGAGTTATATTATACCTTGAGTCACCATAATATATTTTACATATGTTTTAGGTTACTATAAATCATTGTATGCAATCTATGTTTTATAAATTATATTAATATTTTGATTACGTTAATTATTTTCTGAACTCAATTTGTTTAAATTGAGACCTATGGATATGTTTGTTTAACTTTTAGAAATTAATTGACGATGGTTTTATAAACAATTATTTTCTATAAGTACCATCACAGGAGTCCCATGCCTTGGGAGACTTAAATAACCATTGGCCTCTGTTTGGCCACTTTGTGGTCCTCTGTTTGTCATGGATCCATTAACCTCTGTTCTGATTGTCACTCCAGTGACCTTTATTCTGTTCTGTTCTGTACCGTGGTTATGGTTATTTATTTACATAATTTCTATATTTTAGTTTCTACCACATTGAATAATTTGTTTACTCAAATTAAGTTATGTTAATGTTTTAGCTTAAATAATTATCCATGGTAATTTTTGTATCCTTATGCTCACTGTATAATGTTTCTCACTCTACCATGTGCTTATAGCTATTAACCACATTTAGGTGACGAGTCAAAACCAATGCATGGGGTAGGCACAAGGCACTTTGTAGTCATAGTACAGCTCGGGTATTGCAACTGAATAGAAGCTCCAATGTACACATTTTTATTATACTTAAATGAAGATTTGGGTACCTTTTTATTTTACTCCACTGCACTATTAATTTGTTATGATTTCAATTATTGTCTTGTTATGATGTTGAACCTCCGGGTAGCGGATTTGGGTCATGACAAAATTCAAAAATATGTTTTATTTATTTACAAAGTCAAAACAATTATGCAATTATGTGTTCCCAAACTAATCATATGGTATTTGGTGGGCCCATAACCCACAGGTCCCAGGATTGAAACATGGCTCTGATACCACTTTTGTTACGACTCAAACCCGATACCTAAAAGTTCAGTGTCGCAACAAGATAATAAAAATAAAAATAAAAAATCTAAAATTTTTGTAGTAGTAGTAGTAGTAGTAGTAGTAACGCAAGTGGATAAATTAAATAAATTAAAATAAATAGGTACCAAAAAGTTTAGTAAAAAAGAAAATAGTCATCTGGGTTTCATTTTATTATAAGAGTCCGATCATAATAACAAATAGTAAAAAATGAAAAAACACTACTGTTCATTTCCAATCCCGATCTCGCAAAATCTCATTATCTAAAAGGGGATAACAACTATTAGCACATGGCAGAGTGAGAAATATTATACAGCGAGCACGAGGGTCCAAACAAAATACATAGATAATTATTAGGCTAAACAAAAATTAGTTTAGTAACTGAAATACATAACTAATTTTAATTAACAGAAGTAGAATGCGGAAATCATATAAGCAAATAATCATAACCAAGGTACAGAACAGAACAGAACATGGGTCACTGGAGTGACAATCAGAACCAGGGTCAATGGATCCATGACACACAAAGGACCACAAAGCGGCCAAACAAAAACCAATGGTTTATTTAAGTCCCCCAAGACGTGGGACTCACATGGTGGTACTTACAAAACATAATTATTTATAAAATCATTATCAAATAATTTTTAAAATTTAAACAAACATATCCATGGGTTTCAATTTAAGCAAATAGAGTTCAGAAAATAATCCACGTAATTGAAACATTAACATAACCATAAAATAATAATTATATAAAATAAATTGTGATAACTCAAAATATTCGTAAAATATATTATGGTAACTCAAGGTATAATATAACTCACATTACTATCGACCCTTAGCCTTCACTTTTCTATGATTGTCTTACTATTCTTTGCTACTAGTACATTGTTTCTAAGTTATTTGTATCTTTCCCATGTTTTCAAAGCTCCCTTAGTTGCTCCCTATTTATAGGTGGTGATTGCGTGGTTTCTAATTAAGTGGATTGCTCAAAATTGTCCACCTGTCTAACAGGTGTCATTTCCCCATTCTACTAGGATGATTCACCTTGGCTATATTACTTAGTCACCATCCTATATGTTAGGATGGTGATAAACCACCTTTTTTTTTTCTTAACCTTTGATTTAATTCGCATTTCTCCCAAGTTTTTAATAATCTAATTAGATTACATTTTGTCACCTACAACCATAACAATAATTACTTTATTTTATTTTATTATTGTTATTGTTATTATAATTGTGATTGGTTATGGTATTAATTACATATTTAAGGTGTATTATTATTATTTATTTATTAGTTTTTTTTTTGGGGGGGTATATATATTCTATTCATGAGTAATTGATCTAATCACAATATTGAATTAAATTAAAACAAATTCGGGGGTCACATTTCTCCCTCCTTAAAAGAAGTTTGTCCTCAAACTTGCCATACCTTACTTTTCGAAGAGGTGTGGGTACTTGGCCTGCATTTGACTTTCAGTTTCCCATGTCGCTTCTTCAACTCGATGATTCCTCCACAAAACTTTTACAAGGGGTATAGTCTTGTTTCGAAGGATTTGATCACGACGATCGAGAATCTGCACAAATTGTTCTTCATAAGAGAGGTCTTCTTGAACCTCCAGGTTCTCATAATCGACAACATGCTCTGGATATCGATGAAGCATCGAAATGTGAAACATGTTATGGACATTAGACAATTCGGGTGGAAGTGCAAAACAATATGCCACAAAACCAATCCTTTTTAGTATCTCGAATGGCCCGATGTAACGTGGGTTTAACTTTCCTTGTTTTCCAAATCGGATAACCCCTCTTGTAGGTGAGATCTTTAGAAACACACGATCTCCTATTTGAAATTCTCTATCCCGTCTTCGTGTATCAGAATAGCTTTTCTGGCAGCTCTAAGTAGTGTGAATTCGCTATTGGATGAGTTGAATTTTATCACTTGTATTTGCACGATTTCGGGTCCTAACAGTTTCCTGTCTCTGACTTCCGTCCAACACAGAGGTGATCCGCATTGTCTTCCATACAGTGCCTCGTATGGTGCCATTCTGATGCTTACATGATAGCTATTATTATAGGCAAACTACACCAAAGGTAGGTGATCATCCCAATTACCTTTGAGGTCTAGCTCACACACACATAACATATCTTTTAAAGTCTGGATTGTTCTTTCGGATTACCCATCAATTTGCGAGTGATAAGCTGTGCTAAACTTCAAAGTGGTTCCCAAAGCTTTTTGCAATTTGTTCCAGAAATGAGACACACAGCGGGGGTCTCTATCAAATATGATTGAAACTGGGGTTCCATGCAAACGAATGATTTCCTTGATGTACACAGTGGAGAACTTAGTAAGGGAGTACATGATTCTGATTGGTAGAAAATGCACTGACTTCGTCAATCGATCTACAATAACCCATATTGCCTCATTCTTCAAGACTGATTGATGTAGCCCGACCATGAAGTCTACAGTAATATGCTCCCATTTCCATTCAGGAATGAGGAATGGTTGTAACATTCCTGCAAGTCTCTGATGTTCTGCTTTAACCCGTTGACAATGTAGGAATTTGGAGACGTGGCTTGCTATGTCTTTCTTCATTCCTATCCACCAGAAACGTTCCTTCAGATTGTGATACATTTTCGTATTACAACATGGATCGCAAACCTCGAGCTATGAACTTCTACCAATATCTTTTTCTTGAGTTCTGGAAGGTCGGGTACACAAATTCGATTCCAAAATTTTAGCATCCCATTGCTTATTGTGAAGTCAGGATCGGGGCGTGCTTCCTAGCTTCTCGTACTTTTTCTTCAAAAGTTTATCTTCATATTAGCGGACTCTAATTTCTTCAATCAACTCGGGTTCCACGATTATGTTGGTGAGCAGTCCATTGATCTCGTGGGGAATGAGGGCACATGTCAAACTTCTAGTCGTCTTTCGACTCAATGCGCCTGCTACCATGATAGCTTTGCCTGGATGGTGATAGATCTCTATATCATAGTCTTTCATATATTTTACCCACCGTCGTTCCCTCATATTCAGTTCTTTCTATATAAACAAATATTTGAGACTCTTGTGATCTGTGTAAATTTTGTAGGTTACCCCATAGAGATAATGACACAAGATTTTGAGGGCAAAGATTACTGCGACTAAATCCAGATCGTGGGTTGGGTAGTTCTTCTTGTGGGTCTTTAGTTGGCCCAAACCATTGTATGAGGCATCGCTATAAATTATGAACCTTTATGTTTCTGCGGGGAGTGCTAGTATAGGAGCTGTCACCAGTCTATTCTTCAATTCTTGGAAGCAACATTCAATGTTCCTGCTTGTCCATCCATTCAAATGGTGTGTTTTTCTAAGTTAGCAGGGTCAAGGGTGATGCTATCTTTGAGAAATCTTGCATGAAGCGTCAGTAATAGCCGACTAGACCCAAGAAGCTTTGAATCTCGGACACGTTAGTAGGTTGTGGCCAATCCACGATTGTTGTAACCTTTTGGGGGTCAACTGAGATGTCGTCTTTGTTAATGACGTGACAAAGAAAGTGTAAACTAGTGATCCAGAATTCACATTTGTTCAACTTGGCATAAAGTTTGTGATCACGTAGTGTTTGTAGAATCATTTTGCAAGTGTTGTTCATGGTCCACCGGTGACTTAGAGTATATGAGAATGTCGTCAATGACGATGATGATAAACTCATCAAGATAGGGTTTGAACACTCGATTCATGAGGTCCATGAAGGCTGCTAGAGCATTTGTGACGCCAAAGGGCATGACGAGAAACTAGTAATGCCCGTAACAGGTTCTAAAGGCAGTCTTTTCGACACTTTTTGTTTTGACTTTTAGTTGATGGTAACCAGAATGCAAGTCAATTTTTGAGAATACTTAGGCTCCTTGTAGTTGATCGAACAAGTCATCAATTTGTGGCAAAGGGTACCGATTTTTTATGGTGACTTTGTTCAGCTCTCGATAATCAATGCATAACCTCATCATGCCATTCTTTTTCTTTACGAATAATACTGGAACTCCCCAGGGTGAGGTACTAGGTCGAATGAAACCTTTGTCCAGTAGTTCCTGGAGTTGAGTCTTCAATTCTTTTAATTCTGTCATGGACATGCAGTAAGGGGTTTTTGAGATTGGTTGGGTACTAGGTTGGGTTTCAATGGTGAATTCGATTTCTCAGTCAACTAGGGTACCGGGTAGGTCTTCAGGAAATACATCCGGGAATTCTTGAACCATAGGGATTACATCAAGTATGGGGGCTTCTTTTTGAGTATTGATTAGATAACATATACAACTACAACAACCCTTTCTTAGAAGCCATTGGGCTATTATGAAGGATATAACACATGGAGGGGGAGAGACACCAGTTCCATCAAAGACAAGCTCGAGTTGATTTGGTGACTAGAGGGAGACCTTTTTGGCTTCACAATCGACAGAGGCATGGTTTGAAGCCAACCAATCCATTCCTAAGATCACATCAAAGATACTAATGTCGAGGGGAATCAAGTCTACATGTAAGGTTTCACCTTTTAAGGATATAGTACAAGATTTCTACACATCAGCACTAAGGGTAGAATTACCAGAAGGAAAAGACACAGACAATACATATCCTAAGGATTCGGGTGTTGATGCCAACTTGGTAGCAAAGTGCGGTGTAACAAAAGAATGAGTTGAGCTAGAATCAAAGAGAACATGAGCTAAGTGACCACAAACAAAAAGTGTACCTCACACAATATTCTCGGTAACTTCTGGGTTTCCAAGCGCCAGGGTAAAAGCTCTTCCTTGGCGTTTTTGGTCCTTCCTCACTCCTCCAGGTACCGTGGGTTTTGGCGCTGGTCCAGAGGGACCTACTGTAGGATTAATAAGTTTTGGAAAATCTCTTAGAAAGTGGCCAGCTTGACCGCATCTAAATCATGCTCCTGTGGCTCAACGGCATTGTCCTCAATGAGTCCTGCCACAAATAGAGCAAGTTGGAATGGTGCCACCTCTGGGATTGGCAAGACCTTGATTGCTTGAACTAGTTGTGCCCGTTACCCTCTTGAGGGGGCACAACACTGGATCTTCTGATATCTATTTCCCAAAATCATTTCCTTTGGCTTGGCTCCCCGAAGCGTGAGGCTTTCATCCCTTTTTCCGCATTGTATGCTCGATCTACCACCTCCACATACGTTAGAAGTTTCAAAACCTCCAGCCTATCCTTGATCTCAGCATCCAATCCTACTTCGAATTTCTTGGCTTTTCGAGCTTCAGTGGGGATAACATATGTTGCAAATTGAGCCCGTTGCGTGAACTTGCTCTCCTATTCGGCCACTATCATGGTTCCTTGCCTTAGATGTATGAATTCTACTGCCTTTTGTTCCCACAGTGAATCTGGAACGTATTTTTCATAAAATACTTCCAAGAATCTTGCCTAAGTCAAGATATCTTCTTTCTCCAGGGTAAGAAGCCACCATTCTTGTGCATCGTCATTGAAGGTGAATGTGGCGAAGGTTACCTTATGTCTTTCTGTGCAAGATAGTCGCGAAAAATCTTCTCCATATCTCTAACCCAAGCTTCTGCAACCAGTGGGTTTGTACTGCTGGTAAACATGGTAGGTTTCAAGTCCTGGAACTGTTTTATTGTAGTTGGCTCTTCTCGTCGTTCAGGCATTCCGCTATTAATGTTGGCTTGTAGGGCTCGCAGAAAACTAGTAACTGCTCTTTCTATGATTTGCTCCATTGGATCTATAACAACCCCAAAATGCATATTAGAAATTACCTTTATTTAATTATGGGTTAATGTGCTTTAATTTAGTGATATCTGTTTGAATTAAGGAATTAATTGCTAAGTTACGACTTTAAAACTGAAATTGCCGACCTTCGTGGGTTCAGAAACCGAAATTGAATACATGGATATGCTAATGGAAATTTTTAGAGCCATTTGGGAAAGTTAATTGAAAACTTGATTTGTCTGATTCGTTAAGGTTGGTTTGGGTGACTACCTTTGCACTGCAAATTGAAGGTCTTGGAAGCTTCAGAAGCCAGAACGGAATATATAATTATGATCAGTATAATTTTTAGAGTCGTCTGTGAAGTTTAATTGAAAATTAATTTCGTCTGATTCGCTAAGTTAAGTTTGGTTGGCCATATTGATCCATGGACTTGTTTATATATATTTTGAGCCTTATATGTTGAACAGACTCAACCAAACACCAAAACATCTCCTGGAAAAAGAAAGAGAAGAAGAGAAAAGAGAGAAAATGAGAGAGCTCACCTTAAAGCTTGTGGATTTGAGAAATTAGAAGGGGAAATCAAGAAGATAGCTCAAGTAAGTCTTAAATACCCTAAATCTTTCTTTAATTGGTTAGAATCAAACCTTAAAATGAAGTTTTCTATATGTATGGGAGTTAGGGTTTTGGGTTATGATCTCAACTTAACCAATTTCATGAAATTGATGAGGCAGTCATTGGATTTGGCTAATTTAAGGGTTGATTCTTGTGTTTGGATTGTTTTGAGATGGGGTATGGGTCACTACCTTTTCATCTTTGTTTTTGGCATGTTCTGAACTCATACATATATATAGGTATGTGTTTGTATATATTAAGCTGAAGAAGATGAATAAATTATGGAAATTAGAATTGTAAATGTCAAAGTAAAATAAGTTATGACCCATTTGAGTATAGGTTTCATGTTTGTCATGTTTATATGTTATGTTATGAAATGAATTTTGCTTGATTTGGGCCATATGAATACCTTTGAAAGCTTGAAATTGTTGAAGTTTTGGACTGCCCAAACAGAGCCTACGACCGCACTTGTGGGGCCCAGCCACACGTGCGGGGCTCACAGCTGCATGTGCAGAAAACAGGGGAGGCCAAGGATTGCATACTGAAATAAAGGCAAGTGTGGGCCGCACATGTGGCACACCTTTCTGCACATGCGGTGAGGGACTCCCACACACGCGGCTGAAGAGGGAAAATTTTGTTGGTTTCTTTTACCCTTCTCGACCCTCTGAATGTGTTCAGATGTCCATTTGATTCTTCTACAATGGAACAGTGAAGAGGAAAGATTAAGGAATAAGTGAATAATTTATAAGTTGTGTGTGTGCGTGTCTTTTGTAGGTCACTTGCCGGAGGAGACTCCCACGCGACCAAAGCACTGTGAGTAATAAGAGTGTAACGATATATATTTGTTCCTGTATTTGTACTTACGAATCATTATACCTTGATTATTCTTGGCACATTGGAATCATTGTGTTATGATTTATATATTTTTATTGTGAATGGTATATCAGGATGAGTCGTACTAGGACTCACGTATGTTTGTTAAATACAATTACATTTATTGTAATGGAGTACGTTATGTGAATTAAGTTTTGACGGAAATGATTAAACAATGGCAGTGACATGGACCTAAGGTCGTTTTGTTTTATTAGTAATGATGGGCCTGAGGCCGTTATGATATAGATTACTTGTGACTCGTGGCTTCAAGGCCGAGGGAGATGGAGACATGTCGATGTTCCATTTACTCTATAATGATATGAATTGTTTATAACTCATGGCCTAAGGCCAAGGGAGGTGGGAACATATCAATGTTTCATCTATCCTCTAATGTTCTGAACAGTTGTTGATGTGTTGGGCCTGAGGCAGTTCTGTATTATGTTGGGCCT